AGAAAGGAGGAAAGAGGAAGAGGAGGAAAGAAGAGGAGAAAGAAGTAGGAGGAAAGAGGAGGAGGAAGAGAAGGAAGGAGGGAGGAGGAGGAGGGAGAGAGACGTCAACCTGGGAAAAGAGGCCACGCGGAGAAGCCCTCCGAGGGAGACCCCGCCTCCAGGCGCACCTGGTGCAGCACCACGTTGGTGTCCAAGAGCAGATAGTGCGGCCGCGGGACGAGAGGGCTGGCGGGGGAGCTGGGAGCGGCCTGGAGGCCGCGTTGGGGGGGCTCCCCTTCGCAGAGCGGGCAGGCCGGCACCCCGCAGGCCACGTCGTCGCGCAGGTAGTGCTCGCGGACCACCTTCAGCACGGAGCCGCCGCGCGTGCGCTTCAGGAAGGCGCGCGAGGTCAGCATCGCCCCGCCGCCGCCGCTGCCGCGAATGCCGCCGTTCGGACCGAAGCCCAGCGGGAAAGAAGAGCTCCGCTTCCGCTTCCGCTTCCGCTTCCGCCGCTCTGGCCGGCCATCTCGACGGCCGGCCGGCCGCGCGCGAACGTAGCGTTGCGTTGCCATGGCTGCAACGGAGGGCGAGGCGGTGCCGGCTCCCGCGCCTGCGCAATCCGCCTGCCGGTGGTCTCTGGCCGAGCGGAAGGCTTTTGCCGTCCGCCGCCAGGGCGAGTGGAAGGGAGTTCCGTAAGGCGCCTTTCGAGGACCTGGACGGTTACAAGGGTGACCGTCGAGCGCCCCAGCTGAGAGATCGAACAGGTAAGCCGGGCCGGACAGGAAGGGAACCGCTCTCCCCAATCTGCTGCCAATCCCATTTAACGGACCCTAGGAGGGAAAAGGTCCGTTAAATCCGAAGTTACATGTAATGGAGACGTTTGGTGCCCATCTCTGCCTTTGGATGCATGGTGGCATTGACAGTTCACCTAAGTCTGACCTGGATTTGCCAGTGGTCAGATAAAGGTTGAAGTCGCAGGTTTCCCCATTGCATCCGAACCTTGCCAAAGAATAGAATACAATAAAAAGCTTTAGTGTCACCTTAAATGTACACTAATCAGCATATATTAAATAGTCTGTTGCATTTAGCTCTTAAAAAAAATACCATTGTGCACACACACACACACACACACACACACACACACACACATATATGATGTAGAGAAACATCAGAGTCTAATTCGAATGTATGGCACAAAATATACATGGCCGGAAAAAAGGATCCTGCCAATTTACAAGACGGATGGCATAAGGGACAAAGCTGTTACATAATCTAGTAGTCCTGCTATAAATACTTTGAAACCTCCTCCCAGAGGGGAGCAACAGAAACAGACTGTGAAGTGGGTGTGTGGGGTATCTAACAATGCTCCAAGTTCTAAGCAGGTAGCACTTATAAGCAGTATCCTGAATTATGGGAACTGATCTTCCTATAATCTTCTGAGCTGTCCTTACCACTCTCTGTGTAGACCTATTCGAGGCACTGCTACCACCAAACCTAAGATGGATGCAGTTTGTTAAAATGCTTTCAGTCGTACCTCTGTAAAAAGTGGCCACGACAGAAGGAGAAAAATGTGCTCTCATCCGATGCAGGAAATGCAAACACTGGTTTGCACGCTTCACTAAAGATAGCATATGAAGAGACCAAGTCAGATTGTTAATTATCTGCACTCCCAGGTACTAAATAGTATTGACTGCCTCCACAACTGCACCCTTGATACAAAGTGGAGTGTGACTATGCCGGCTCTTTCTAAAATCAACAACGATTGCCTTTGTTTCATTAACATTCAGAAACATTCAGAAACAGGAGGCGTTCATAAAATTTAACTTAACTGTGGTTTGTGGCTATAATGATTGATTTGCTTTGCTGTTGTAACTGTAATGCCTTCATGTACAATGTGACCTATAACTGTAGAGTTGGTTAGGTATTTAAGCAGTAAAGCTATCAAGTTGGGGCTTTTAATTATTATTATTTTTAATAGATTGTGGCTTTTGTACAATGCAAACTGCCTCTAGTCCCAAGAAATAGAAAACATACAGATATGAGTTATAAGTTCACTTTGATCTGAAAGCACGTTTGGGTAACATGCTAAATCAATCGCCTAATTGAAAGGGAGGAATTGGAGGGCATTGTTTATATGAGAAGATGGTGCTTGTTAGAACTAGGTTTGTTTGAAAGAAATCAGGCACAGTTTGCTAAATGTGCAGTTCGGTTAATACAAAGTGTAACAAAAGGGGCAATTGTGTACGTTCACCCCTTAATAAAGAACAGTATGTTCTTTCTACAATCCATATTGGGTTACAGCTGCCCATCTTTATTATTTCGACAGCCCCACATTTCAACAAATGACTCTGGATGATGTATGTTACTGCTGCATACTGAGAAAATATTGGAGTTAGTTGGAGACTCACAGGGGAAAAAAGAGAAGGTTGAAACTGAGTCTGGCATTCTGCCTGCAAGATGCCAGTTTCTTCCCTTTTTGATTAAAAATACATCAAGTGAAGAAAGGAGGTGCCAGCGAATGTGGGCATAGGTGTGTAGCTGCCCGCAAAATGGTTCTTATTTTAGACCAGGGGCAGGCAACCTTGGCTCTTTTATGACTCGTGGACTTCAACTCCCAGAATTCCTGAGCCAGCCATACTGTGGGGAAAGGGAGAGGTTTCCAAGCTGAGCCATGCTGGCTCAGGAATCTGGGAGTTGAAGTCCACGAGTCATAAAAGAGCCAAGGTTGCCTGCCCCTATTTTAGACAGAATTTTATACTTGACCTGTTCTACTTATTACACAGTGAATTGAAACTGTTTAAACAAAATGTCTCCTTTACCGTTGCTGTCTCTCTCTTTTTTTAATTTATTTCTTTTTGCTTACTTTTAAAGCTTGTTACAATTTTAAAGAGAAGGTTTTTTACATCCTGCTAGAAGATGTCAAGGAAAAGCTCTAGGGATCCCAAGAAAGTAAACGTATCCAGCTCTTTGGAATCGGAAGATATTAGTTTAGAAACGACGTTGCCCACCGACGATGTGTCCTCGTCTGAAGACCGGGAAGGTACCGTCAAGATTACCAGGCAACTTATAGAGAGGAAAGAACTGCTGCATAATGTCCAGTTGCTGAAAATTGAGCTTTCTCAGAAGAACTTGATGTTAGATAACTTAAAAGTGGAGTACTTGACAAAGGTAAGAGGATGGCTTTCTTTTTCTTTTTCTTTTTTTTAATGCATTATCATGTTCAAGTGTTTTAGGACTGAACTTGCTGGTATTGATAGCTCTTGTTCTCCGTACTTGCTCTAGAAAAAATTGTTTCTCAACATAATCTTTGGTAACTGCTACGTCGGACTGGAATATAATTTATCTGAATCCATATCAGTCAGGATTCAGGCCTGGGCAAGAGAGAGAGAGGGGGGGGGAGAGAGTATACACATAGACATTAGACAGCACTGTGAGAATTAGGTGTTCAGCAGAGTGATGGCCTAAGGGGAAAAAAATGTCCCTGTGTCTAGTTCAGGGGTCGGCAACCTTAAACACTCAAAGAGCCATTTGGACCCATTTCCCAGAAAAAAGAAAACACTGGGAGCCGCAAAACTTGCACACGTGCGCACACACAAGGGGGGGGGCAGCTTGATTGAAGAGTTTAATTAAAAAGAAATAGAGGCTGCTGTGCATGAGTTCTCTTTCCCTCCCTCCCTCCCTCTCTCTCCCTCTCTCTCCCTCTCTTTGTCTCCCTCCCTCTCTCTCTCCCTCTCTCTGATCTTCTGCTCACCTAGCCAGCTGGCCTCACACTGTTCTCTGACAAGCTGACACACATTCTTATTGGGCTGGCTCTCTCCTGCCCTTGGTCTGCCAGTCCTCTTCCCCCACTCAGTGTGTGTGTGTGTGTGTGTGTGTGTGTGTGTGTGTGTGTGTGTGTGTGAGAGAGAGAGAGAGAGAGAGAGAGAGAGAGAGAGAGAGAGCTGCTGCCTCCTGCTGCTTCTTGCTTCCTGCTGAGACGCAGCAAAGGCAGGAGCCCCGCTCAATAAGCTTGTCAGTTTGTCCGAGAATAGCGTGAGGCCACTCTCTTTTTTACACAGAGAGAGAGAGAGAGAGAGAGAGGGAGGGAGAGAGAGGGAGGGAGGGAGGGAGAAGGGAAGTGCAAGTGCTCTGTCTCTGTCTCTCTCTCTCTGCAAATGGCGGAGGAGGACTGGGAACCGCAGGAGAAGGCTCAAAGATCCACATGCGGTTCCAGAGCTGCGGGTTGCCGACCTGTGGTCTAGTTGGTTTGGCCTGGAGTGCCCTATAGCACTTCCCCAAGGGGAGGAGTTGAAACAGTTTATGTCCAGGATTTGAGGGGTCTGTAGATATCTTCTCAGCCCTCCTTCTGACCCATGCAATATACAGGTCTTCTATGGAAGTCAGGCTGTTGCAATTGTTCTTTCTGAAGTCTTAACTATCCCCTGGAGTCTGTACCTGTCCTGTTTGGTTGCTGGACCAAACCAGACAGTTATAGAAGAGCACATCACAAACTCAATAAATCCTCTGTAAAATTGTTATCAACAGCTCCTGGGGCAGTCTGAGCTTCCTGAGTTGATGCAGGAAGCACATTCTTTGCTCTGCCTTTTTAATGATGGTTCTAACGTTAAGCAAATTGTGTTAACGTTAAGAATTGTAACGTTCAGAATTGCAATGCTTACGTTAAGAATTATAGTAACCTCTGTATCTTCTCTCAATTTCCTTGCACAAATCTGAATTGGGCTCACTTTAATCACTCTTTCTTTTCTTTATCAAATTGTTGCTTTAGATTGAAGAACTAGAAGAGAAGCTTAATGATGCAGTCCATGAGAAACAACTGCTGTCTTTACGGCTAGATAACCAGCTGGCGTTACAGCAAGAAGATGCTAGGTATGAAAGTGAGGATATCAAATTTAGAAGCAGGAATTAGATCAAAACTAGACTGTTCTGTTTTTTATGTTAATAATAATAATAATAATAATAATAATAATAATAATAATAATAATAATAATAATAATAATAATAATAATAACAACAACAACAACAACAACAAAACAACAACAACAACAACAACAACAATAATAATAATAATAATAATAATAATAATAATAATAATAATAATAATAAAAGTTGGAAGGGATGTTGGAGGTCATCTAGTCCAACCCCCTGCTCAAGCAGGAAACCCTTTACCATTTCAGACAAATGGCTGTCCAGTCTCTTCTTAAAAACTTCCAGTGTTGGAGCATTCACCGCTTCTGGAGGCAGGTTGTTCCACTGATTAATTGTTCTCACTGTCAGGAAGTTTCTCCTTAGTTCTAGGTTGCTTCTCTCCTTGGTTAGTTTCCATCCGTTGCTTCTTGTCCTGCCCCTCAGGCACTTTGGAGAATAGCTTGACTCCCTCTTCTTTATGGCAACCCCTGAGATATTGGAACACTGCTATCATGTCCCCCCTCGTCCTTCTCTTCATTAAACTAGACATACCCACTTCCAGCCACCGTTCCTTATATGCTTTAGCCTCCAGTCCCCTGATCATCTTTGTTCCTCTTCTCTGTACTCTTTCTAGAGTCTCAACATCTTTTTTACATTGTGGTGACCA